CTTCCCCTTTTCATGGATTATTATATGCTTCTTTTCTAGTTCCGCTCACCAATAGCATTGTCTTTTGCTGGCTTGAAGTTGCAACTGCATGTCTGGCAATGGAGTAAGTATGATTGTTTTACCACGTTACATAGGTCCCGTCGCCTTGAACCTGCGCCCACTTCTTTCCCTCCCCCATGTTGCTTGTTTCACTGGTTGTAAAGCTGATAGATTGAATGCAGCTAGGTGTCTGTCTGTCTTGCTCGATTTCGTCTCACGATATGTATCTTTAGATACCATTATCTCGCACCTACCATAGAGGTAGTGCTAACTAACGACTTGGTTAGAATTCCCGAACCGGTGCACTCGCTTGGCTTCAAAATTGGGGCCTGTAACCGCCCAGGCCTCTTTTTTGAAACGAACGGCGGGGAAAGCTCTCCCCAGGTCCGGGTCCCTGGCGCCTGCTTGCACTATGATGGAGGGGCAGCTGGGACCTGAGACACAGGCACGCCGAGAGCTCTCTCTGGTCATTTTGTTCGGACACAGAATTGACCGATCAGGGTCCCGGGGTTGGACCTACTAGCCCGGGCGCTTAACTGGCACATTGAGTTGTGGCCCTATAATCTCGTAGTGTACGCTTTATGGCCCCTCCCACCAACCTGTTCGACATTCAGTTGTTGATAAAAAGGAGAAGATGGTGAGCAAATGAGGGACGTGGCAAATGAGTTATTTGTATCGGGGCATACTTATATTACACTGCAAGTGTTGAGTCGCCTAGGGAGCGGATACAGGTCCGTGGTGTTGATGGGATTATGCTGGCTTGGGAGAATGAGACGGGCCCACTGAATGGGTACTTGTTCTGGAAACTCGATTTGAGGTTCTCGACGTATCCTCACAGGGCTGCAGGAGGTCGCATACAGACTGGCCGCGGCGGGCTGGCGCTGGCCAGGAGAAGAAGAAACATTCAGGAGCCAGAGTTAAAAGTGAGGATGAACGGAAAGGGCATCCAAATCTTCACTCAAGCTGCAGTGTGATATCTTTAGATGTACCGGCGCCCAGGCTCTAGAGGCTGCTGGCACGGCTGATTAGCCGCCCAGGTGTTGATACCGTGATGCGTTTCCATGCTCTTGTACGTGTATGTGAAACCATAGACTTGAGGGCACATCAATCCGCTCGTCGTGTTACTTACTGTACGCGAAGCACGAGGATGCATGCTGTAGCCCAGGGGCAATGTCTACCACCTCAGTCGATCATCGTGCCTATTTACATACATAGTATGTGAACGGGAAGAAAGAAGACAGACGGGGATTCCATTCGTGTTAATGGTTGTGCCCCTGGCCGGGCCTAGCCGACCGTCAGCGAGCTGAACCCCGCTGGCGAAGGAGTCCCGCTCGGACTCCTTGATGCGTTTGACGATTCTGAATGAGCCCCACCAACAATGACAACGTGGGCTGAGCTTCCCGCTGGGGATTCCTTGTTGCACTTTGTTCCGGCGTCAACATGCTTCAAGAAGCTGTGTGAAAGTGTGAAGTAGTTGGGGTCTCGATCCCCGTGTCATTTTCTCCTGTTTAATCCTCATCAGCTCGATAACTTCGTTTCCATTGACCCATCCTTCGTCAGTCTTCCTGCTGAGCCGGGCCCTCGTTGTTCTCTGACACCATTCCAACCACCAAACACCACGGTATTATTGGGTGGGTGGCTCTGCACCGAGGTACGTCCAAGTGTCGACAAACGTCTAGTCTAGACTGCCCGGTCCCGCCAAGGCCGCTTTCGTGATTCACTTGGTGCTCGACGACTGCGCACCACCTGGTTGTCCATCTGATATTCTTGCTTTCCGGCTGGCTCTACCCGCAGTGTTGAAGGAGCCGGACCTTGGGTTTCAATGAAAGCCCCTGGACACTGACATCCACTCAACTTGATCATCCTGGGATCTGAGGTGCGCCGCTTGGCGGTCGAGGTTCGCGGAAGAGTGGAAAAGGAAGCCAGCAACGCAAGCCCAGTGGGTTTGCTCTGTTACACTGCATCCGTTCCAATTGATCCCTCATAAATCGATTGAATACCTCACCCTGCACCCTGACTTGTGTTGCCAACAGCTAATCATAGCAAGCAGCCTAGGTACTAGACAGGCCGGCATATTGAGGGTAGACCAAATTCGCGCCCAACCCCTCCGCCACCACCTCCCGCTACAACTTGAACCGCAACAACGCAACCAGCACCAACCGTCCAGACCCCCGCATTTCCACGCCCATCACATCCCCTTGGCGACGGCCACTTCCTTTACCACCTACACTCTTTCTACAAACAACAACAACAACAACAACAACAACAACAACAACAAAAACAACAAGGTGTTGAGCAACTGAGTACTTGGTCGTTCTTCGATCGCAACCACCCCTCGACTGCGCGGCTCGACTGGGATCTCGGACAACCCCACTCCAACTGACGAATCCCCTCATTCGGTAGCGCCCCGTTGACTCGCGATCAACGCCTCCGTTGTCACACAAGAACACAAGTATTTTCTAATCTTCGAGTCGGCGAAACAACCGAACCGCTTACTGTTTCTGGACAGTCTTTGTTTCCCGTAAGCAACGTTTCGGGACACGTCGAGATGAGCAGCGCACAAAGAGGCGGAGCTCGCAAGATCTCCTTCAACGTCAGCGAGCAGTACGACATCCAGGATGTCGTAGGTGAAGGCGCCTACGGTGTCGTCTGGTAAGTTGATCACCACAGATAGTCCTGGCCCATATGGAAGAACCACGAAAGCTGACAGGTGACCGGAACAGCTCTGCAGTACACAAGCCTTCGGGCCAAAAGGTCGCTATCAAAAAGATCACCCCCTTTGACCACTCCATGTTCTGTTTGCGGACGTTGCGCGAAATGAAGCTGCTTCGGTACTTCAACCACGAAAACATCATCTCTATTCTCGATATCCAAAAACCACGGAGCTACGAGACCTTCAACGAGGTGTATCTCATCCAGGTATGATCGCGTGCTGGCTCGGTCCTCCAGAATGTTATCATGTTCCTCACTAACATGGCTGGACATCCTAGGAACTAATGGAGACTGACATGCACCGCGTCATTCGTACCCAAGAGCTCTCGGACGACCATTGCCAATACTTCATTTACCAGACGCTGCGCGCCCTCAAGGCCATGCACTCTGCCAATGTTCTTCACCGCGACTTGAAACCCTCCAACCTTTTGTTGAACGCCAACTGCGATTTGAAAGTATGCGACTTCGGTTTGGCTCGCTCGGCCGCGTCGCAAGAGGACAACTCGGGCTTCATGACCGAATACGTTGCCACCCGTTGGTACCGCGCCCCCGAAATTATGTTGACGTTCAAGGAGTACACCAAAGCCATTGATGTCTGGTCTGTCGGCTGCATTTTGGCCGAGATGCTGAGCGGCAAGCCACTCTTCCCTGGCAAGGATTGTATGTGTCATGCCATCCCAAATTCCAGCATATGGCAGCTGTACGGGGTTGAGACTAACGCGCGTTACTTGTGACAGACCACCACCAACTGACCCTCATCCTGGACGTCCTCGGCACGCCAACCATGGAGGACTACTATGGCATCAAGTCGCGTCGGGCGCGCGAATACATCCGCTCGCTGCCCTTCAAGAAGAAGGTTCCCTTTCGCACGCTGTTCCCCAACACGTCGGAGCTGGCCCTGGACCTGCTAGAAAAGCTCCTTGCCTTCAACCCTGTTAAGCGCATCACGGTCGAAGAGGCGCTCAAGCACCCGTACCTGGAGCCCTACCACGACCCGGATGATGAGCCGACCGCGCCCCCCATCCCCGAGGAGTTCTTTGATTTCGATAAGCACAAGGATAACCTGAGCAAGGAGCAGTTGAAGCAGTTGATCTACCAGGAGATTATGAGGTGAAGTGTTTACCGATACAGGCAGTTGCAAGAGAATACAGTGAGGTGAGGTGATCTGGACGGCTTTGCAGGAGAGTATTGGAACAACGTCAGTTTACTCGGTCCGATTGGGACCGTAGGAGATATCAGGGAGAAGTGGAATATGCTTTTTCTAGCATTTGATGGCGAATGTTGAAGGCTAGGGGGTGTATGTGAACAATGTGGACTAGATGAGTGTGGGGGTTGTCGATTACTTTACGTTTCCTTTGCGGTCTGATACGCTCTTATGGCTTGCTTAAACCGGATCCTGTTTCCGTACCGTCATGAATTTGAAGCTAGATTCTCAACCTGCCTGAGCTTTGATGATGTCTCTTCCATGGTGTTGTTCTTTTGGCTGTGGCACCTATGGCTAGGCGTTTCGGTTTAAAGGAATGAAGGTAAGCAAGAGTTCCATTCCGCGAGTAGGTGAAGGGTATTATAATACAAATACTGGCTAAAAATGCAGACCCTATCACAAGGCCTATACCTGGTATGTATGCCCATCCTTTTCCTTTTGACTTGGTCAAGTCGAAACCCACCCCAACATAACGCCTTACGCCACAATATTTCCATATCCATACCCAGTTCAGTAATGGCCACAAAGCCGTGTTAGAAATGATAGCACATCAGTCTCAAAAGTCATCCCAGCCTCCTCTTCTCGCTAGCGAGCCAAGAGGCATCATAACCCCCCAGACCCAATTACCCAAACCTCAACCCCCAGAACAGAAAACTTCTCACCCTGATCGCTAAGCTGCTCATTCCCAAACGTCTGACTTGTAGAGCTCACCCCCTTCTCCAGCCCATCATCCAGCCACAACCCAAACCTCCCATCGCCAGCGCCCACACTCAAAAAATGGGACTCGCACAAAATGTAGTACTCGTTCACGCCACTGTAGGGAAACGCCTTGAAGCGGATGGTGGTTTGATCAACGGTACCGGTCAAGTCAGCAAATAGATCGTCTGCGCTGTCGTTGTGGGGTGGGGTGGCTGTCGTCGTGGCTTCCAAAACGGAACATGAGGCAAGATCGTCGCCGCTGTTGTGGTTCGTGGCCCTGTCCGTGCCCGTTCCGACTGACGAAATGGTGGATGTTCGGCCTCGCAGGTTCGTGGTGTCGGCGGAGGGAGGAGGCGGGAGGGAGGCCATGACGGAGGCGCGCCAGAGAAAACATTCACCTGTGCCGAAGTATTTCGGGGCTGGGTGGGGGAAGTCGGAGAGGTAGGCGCCGAAGATCTGTAACGTTGGGGAAGCGTGCGCGAGGTAAGCGACTGGTCTGTTTTTGGGACGTGTGTATCTTTGAGTGCCGAGTTTCGACAGTGATAGGAGGTGGGGCGGGGGAAAGGCCTGGACACGGAGTGAAGAAGAGAGAGGGAGGGAGGGAGAGGGGGATAGGCAACTTACACCACCCTCTGCATCTTTAACAACCAACACGAATCCCACTCGTCGTCCGGAATACTTTGCACACTTATCGTAAAGCGTTCCCAGACTTGCCCCATCCTGGTCCAGACTGTAGACCAAATTCCACTCATCCACGATGCTGAGTCTCGTAGGCACCATGATCCGTATCTCTTCCGCGATCGCCTGTGTTAATATCCTGGCCGACGCGGGTGTGTCTGGTGCAAACCCCTTGAGCTGCACGGGTTCCAGTGGAGGCGGCTGCATTGGTGACGCCGTTCGCTGGATAGTTTCATGGAATCGAGGGGGAACGTAAACTCCGTCGACGCCGTTGTTGTTGCCGTTACTGTTGTTATAGTTGTGGTCGTCGAAGTGTGAGTGTGAACTGTCTGCTGGGTATGACTGTGAGTGGGTGAGGGACGGCGTTTCGGCGGAGAATCGCCGAAGCAGACCTCCCCAAATACTGGAGACGAGCCCTGGTAGTTGAGAGCTGCTGGCCCCCGACCCTGTCGGTGTTTGGGCGCCGGAGCCCGGGGCGGACGAGGAGTACTCCGATTCGGGCCGGAAGGTTTGGATGGGATGGGGGTGTCTGCGGCGAGAATCGTGGTAGCTCATGGCTTCAGGTTTCCAATGACCCGACACCCGAATTTCGAAGGCTTATATCGAGGGTGGTGTACGAATAACCTAGAGATGACTGAGAAAGCGCGTAGGAAGCTTTGGCAGATTACGGATTATCGATTGCCGGTAGGTAAAGTAGGTGCGGTAGAGAAGATGTTTGTACATGAGTTTGCAGATAGGTTCAGTTGATGGACGGCAGGGATGAACTGGAGAATGCATGCTAGCGAGTAAGTTGACAGTCTCGGCGGGCTGCGGGTGAAATTCGTTAGAATTGGGTGGTCCATCCGTCGACTTTGCGTACAGTCCGGGTGCCGTAGCGTGCGTGCCCTGACATGGAAGCCGAGCTCTTACTATTTCAGACCCCCCTCCCCCCGCACGACCGATGGCTTATGTTTATGTTGTGAATGACGACGCATGCCCCTGGGAGCTTCCGTAAACGAGAAGGGTTGACGTTGCTTTCCGTGCACATAGCGTAGCCCAGGATCCGGGGGGCTAGTAGTGGTATGCTTTAGCAATGCCGATACCCCGTATGAGCCCGTACAATATATGCCGTTATTGCGGTACGTACTATTCCACCAAAATTGAGTATAGCGCTCTATGTAGTGTTTAAGGGGAGACGTGTGCGGAGTCATGCTTGCTGTACGTCCAGGTAGGTATCCTATGTACCTCTTACGTTTAAATTTCTGTTCGTGCATGCAGCCTCTTGGTAACCCGGGCGTTGTGTAGCCCGCGGGGAGGTAAGTCCATGGTTCCCTTTTAGGTGGCTTTAGTCACAAGCACCAAGAATCTACTCTTATACCTAGCTAGGTACCAAGTTTGACAAGGGCGTGATATGCTGGGCGAGGTTTTCCAACTATGATGGCTTTTGAACATAACGGCTGGATGGTCCAGGTTTATTTCTTTGCTTCGTTCCAAAACCTACTGATACCCTGCCAAACCCCTTCCGGGCTGGGTTGCTCCGCGCAGACATCAGGCTCATAGCCAAAGTTCTTGACAAGATGAAGGCGAGTTGTCGGTCCGATGGTAGCAATGTACGTTTTCCTATCCTCCTGGTGAAAGTCGTCTCCCACCCTGCCGCTACTCTCGTTCAGCCATCCCAGGGCACTAAGCATGCCGTCGCAGCCACTTGGGGAGAACACCACGACCCATCTCGCCGGCCGGTCTTGGGTCTCTTGGAGAAGCTTTGTGAAATCTTGTTGGAAGGATTTCATAACACCGGTACCATAGACGACAACCTCTTTGATGCGAATGAACTTGTCTGATGGTAAAGCAGGGTCCATCAACTTCTTGGGAATTATATCCCGCCTTTGCTCGCCAACCAGAAACAACAGCGGCGGCTTGATGGACCGGTCCTTATACCATTCGCCATAGTGTTCGATAATGTAGGGTGCCAATGTTTCACCGTTGCCAGTATGCTCACCAAAGACTTGGAGCGGCGGTTGTTGGGGAACTGCCTTCAACGCGCGGGTTGTCGCAGGGCCGACGCTGTAAACAGGGATATCTTGGAGATGGGGCCACCTGTCATCGCCTACACAGCTGTTATGAGGTTTGGCCTTTCGAAATGGATGCAGTACGTCTTACCTGTTACTTCTTGGACGAGGTGGGTGAAGGCTTCAACGGCACGTTGGGAGGTGAAGACAAGACCTCCGTAAGCACAGTCGAAGCCAGTTCCTATAGCTTTCGTCTTGAGAAGATTGCGCACCGTAGCTAAGCCCTCATCCTTGAATCGATGTTCCAGAACGGGAACAAAGAAAGGCTCGAAATTAAAGCCATCCGTCTCGGAAGAGAATTGCTCCTGATACGAGTCCCCAGGAGTGGATTTTGTCTTCAACAGAAAGACGGGGGTCTTTTGCGACATGTTGACTCTGCCTTGTTGCTTCCCGCAATATGACACACAGAGTCAAGGGCAGGAGAGAACCTTTGCTCTGGTCTACCGATTTCATATCTTTACGTATGTGTAGTCACGGAGTGGGGCCCGCGACCGGCAAGAGCCGCCCCACTATTGCCGGCCAGGTGCGCCGGCATGGTGGCATAGCTTTATCGATAAGCGGAGAGCAAGGATCACGCCGTTATACGGTTCAAGTCGCTATTCCGATTTCTAATCCTCGAGGCGGGTTCGATACAGTCAAAAACACATATCTGCGTGCCTCGAAGAGAGCGTTCACTCGTGCAACCGTCGAGCCTCTATACCACCGCTCATCCGCCACCTGTGGATACGTTTTACAATGCCAACGAACGTCACAGACAACGACCCTGCGCAAAGCGGCGCAACAGCGACGGCTCCGGTCGATGGTAGCGCAACAGAGCCACCCAAGAAATTCCCCAAGGGTGTTGTGCTGGGCAAGGATGGAAAGCCGTAGGTTTTATCCAGAGTACGGACTTCAAGGTTCAACATCATGTCACTGATGCGACTTCTTAGTTGTCGTTCTTGCACCTCCTTCGGTGCCTGGGCGTCCCAGGCCAAGGCTACCCTAAAGACGAGTCACGACATGTCCTCAACTGCGCCTTCTACGATTGCGTCGGCAGCTACATCATCAACCAGGAGAACAGACTGCCCAGCTGATGTTGAAACTCTCGGGCGAAGCTCCTGGACTCTTCTCCACTCGATCGCCGCGACCTACCCTCCCGCCCCGACTCCAACCGAACAAAATGATCTAAAGTCCTTCATGAGCTTGTTCGCAAAGCTGTACCCTTGCTGGGTATGCGCCGAAGATTTCCAACAATACATAAAGAAAGAAGAACCGAAAACAGGCAGCAGGGACGAGTTTGGAAATTGGCTGTGTGAGGCGCACAATGAAGTCAACAGGAAGTTGGGCAAGCCAACGTTTGACTGCTCCAAGTGGCAGGAGAGGTGGAGGACTGGGTGGAAGGATGGAAGCTGCGATTGATCCGCGACATCTCTATTATTATAGCGACCTGAGAAATCTCAGCCCTCCCCGGTGACAGAAGGTTGTATACAAACGTCTGGTTGTTAGATGGTGGTGGCGATGGTGTTTTTTTGCATACGCAGCATGGCGAGGCGCATTGGCGTTGTATGCAGTGTCTTTTCTGCCTACTACCTAAGGTAGGTTTCTGATCTCCTGTCTATCCCATTCTCTGGCATCGGTAGTCGCAATGGCATGGTTCTCTACTCCTGCTCAGGTTACCGGTTACCACATGACTGAAAAGGGCGACAAAAGAACTGAAGGGAGCAAGGTGCTTCCAGTGCAGTGGTGCGACACTCAGGTAGCGGGCTGCAGGTACCTACTACTAGACTACCGTACTTACCTCTACCTACTTGCTATGCTACTCGTACCTGCTACTCCACCAAGCGGCATGTACCTATGTACCTCTATTCCCCGTATGTAGTGTACTTCACCCCACCACCAACTTGAACTCGAATCCATGACATCACAGGAAGCAGCTACTATGTACGGTAGTTATCGCCGCCACTAACTCGTGGAAAGGACGAACAATCCCATGCCCGGTATCCGGGCCCTTCCGGCCCCTCGAATCGCCCGACAATGCGTCTTGTCATACTTACATAGGTACATATTGGTAGATGCTTCCCCTCATTCAACAAAACAGCTCCAGCCAGCTCTTCACCTTGGACTCTCTTACTTATTCACATCACTTCTCGCTGTCCTTGCTTATATCCTGCTGCTCCGATACCTACACCTACACACGCCATCCTCTTAACACAATACTCGTAATATACCCCATCAACACATCGCAAACAAGCCAGACCGGGTCTGACAACCTACCGCAACACACGAGATTACACGAGAACTTCCACATAACCCACCCAAAAACATGTCAGACATCCGGACACAGAGTCTGCAGAAGCCCGTGACAGTGGCCGAGTATCTCTTTAGAAGATTGCATCAAATCGGCATCCGCTCAGTCCACGGCCTGCCAGGAGACTTCAACCTGGTTGCTCTCGACTACGTTCCTAAAGCCGGGTTGAAATGGGTTGGTAGCGTGAACGAGCTCAACGCTGGTATGTCTACTTCTCTATCCCCACGAGCATGATCGCTGATATCAAACAACGTTAGCCTATGCCGCCGACGGCTACGCCCGTGCCAAGGGTATCTCTGCCCTTGTAACCACCTTCGGTGTTGGCGAACTATCCGCCATCAACGGTGTTGCCGGTGCTTACTCTGAGCATGTCCCTATCGTCCATATCGTCGGCTGCCCTTCGACCATCTCCCAGCGCAATGGCATGCTTCTACACCATACCCTCGGTAACGGTGACTTCCACGTTTTTGCCAATATGAGCGAAAATATCTCTTGCGACGTTGCCAAGCTAGTTAAACCTAGTGAGATCGCCTACCAGATTGACCATGCGATCCGGGAGTGCTGGATCCGCAGCCGGCCCGTGTACATTTGGTTACCTACCGACATGGTTGAGAAGAAGATCGAGGGCGCTAGATTGGACACAGAGATTGATCTCTCCGAGCCGGAGAATGATCCCGACAGAGAGGACTATGTCGTCGATGTGGTCCTCAGATACCTCCATGGAGCCAAAAATCCGGTGGTCCTGGTCGACGCATGCGCAATTCGCCATAGGGTTACTGAAGAAGTCAAACGGTTCATTGAAAAGACCAAGCTTCCCGTGTTTGTTACACCCATGGGCAAGGGTGCCTTCGACGAAACGTCCGAGCACTACGGTGGTGTCTATGCTGGCACCGGCTCTCTTCCCGAAGTTGCTAAGCGCGTTGAGGGTTCTGATTTGGTTTTGTCTATTGGCGCGATCAAAAGTGACTTCAACACTGCTGGCTTCTCGTATCACACCTCACAACTGAATACCATCGATTTGCATAGCGACCATTGCACTGTGCGCTACTCCGAGTATCCCGGTGTTGCAATGAGGGGTGTGCTCCGGAAGGTCACTGAGCGCATCGACATGTCCAAGCTCTCGATAACCCCTTCTCCCCCGGTCGAGAATGCTGTAGCTGAGAACAGGGATGACTCGCAGGCCATCACCCAGGCGTGGTTCTGGCCAAGAGTAGGCGAGTACTTCCAGGAAGGAGATGTCGTTGTTACCGAAACGGGCACAGCCAACTTCGGCATCTGGGAAAGCAGATTCCCCAAGGACGTCATGGGGGTGACGCAGGTACTATGGGGAAGTATCGGCTGGTCGGTAGGCGCTGCCCAGGGCGCGGCACTGGCAGTGAAGGATCTTGAACAAGATAGGCGAACAATCTTGTTCGTGGGTGATGGCAGTTTTCAACTGACTTGCCAGGAAGTCAGCACGATGCTGAAACATAACTTGAGGGTCACCATGTAAGTGCTCCCGTTTTTTATCCCTCGTATTTTGTTTAGGGTTAGCTTGACGAGCTTCGACTAACTGGATCGCCTCAAAGCTTCCTCATCTACAACGAAGGCTACACTATCGAACGTTACATCCATGGTATGGACGCGGATTACAACGATATCACCCGCTGGAACTATACCGATATCCCCGCGGTCTTTGGCGCCAAGGAAGGCCAGTCTCAGAAGTTCGTCATCAAGACAAAGGATGAGTTGGAGAGGCTCCTCAAAGACAAAGATTTCAACGAGTATAAAGGCCTGCAGTTTGTAGAGTTGTGGATGCCAAAGGATGATGCGCCGCGGGCGTTGAAGCTCACGGCTGAAATTTCGGCGAGGACCAACTCTAGGATTGAGGATGAGCAGTGAGAGGCAATAGCATGAACTGCACACATGTCCTGCTGTGGAGAGGGGTTTATGAACTTATAACGAAGTGGAATACGGTAGCGGGTTTGGGTTACCATGATGAGGTTATGCTATCATGATTATAGAGAGAAACTTTCATCCATGGATTGAAGTTAGAGAAACGAGAAAATACGTTAGGGGTACACCTGAATAAAACGTGCTCTGTCCGTATACATATAAGATGACTTAAGTAATTCCATCCAGTTGGTAATTATAGTTTAATGATACTGGCTGGGTGTTAGATAAAAGGCCGAGAAATGCAAGTTAAGTGTCAAATGGCAATGCCAAGATCGGAAAATGTTGAGGAGAGAATGGAAGAAACAAAAAAAGGATCAACTGATGGAGAATTAAACAGAATTGAAGAAAAGAAACCAAGAGAGATAGATGATCAATATCGCTAAACAAACCTAGAAAAAGGAATCTCATCTGAGACTTTGGTTGGGGGCCCCTGGGGATGTACAAAAAATTAGGTCTCTCCCGCCGGGAATTGAACCCGGGTCTCGAGCGAATCGAACCGATGTTCAAGCTTGACAAGCTCACATACTGACCACTATACTACGGAAGATGTACAACTGTTGATCAGCTGTCGTAGCAGTTTGACGAAGATCGTATCCGAGGTCTGTATCTATATAATCAGATATTTAACTTCACCTTGCACGCAAACGCCCTTGTTACTCGCGATTCTGTATTTTGCTTGTTTACCTGAATGCATCACTATAAACGAAGTTACGAAGTTGATACTATTCTTGCATTATGCTTAAAGAAGACAACAAAAGGAAAAAGACGTGTGTTACGTGGAGCTTCCAAATAGCTTCGTGTGAGTGGCAGAGCGCCAAAACAGCCAAGGGACAAGAGTGAACGTTATTCTAGAACCTTGAGATGGCGACGGTGGATGTTAAACAACGCTGCTTGGGAATTTCCCATCAGGATTGTATGTATACATTTGCTTATATCTCATGTGTCTTGACATCCCATCGTTTCGTACACTACATCGCTGTTCCCCAGTGTCATTTATTCTGGGGATATGCACCAAATGGAGTCGCATCGCTGCGTTTCCCAGACCCAGACTGACCTTAAACGCCTGAGAAATGTGCAAGACCAAGATGAACTGTGAAGAGGCACAATGATCAAAGAGAGCATATATATATATATAATACCTACGTTCAGGACACCAAGACCACTTGTAATTCACTACGATGCTAACTAACCAAATCTTTTAGATTGCCCGTCCCAAAATGTTTTGCCCTCCATCCCTTCCAACACTCACACTTGCACCCCTCACCCTCCCATAACCTCTAGTATCCCCAGACCCGGCAGACTTATAACCTACATCCGGTCCCGGGTCACTCCACTCATCCAAACTCACGACACCGCTCGAATACGAGTACCTCATTGAGCCGCCAAAGCTCTCCTGGCGGGTATGAGCACTGGGTGGATGTCTAGGGCCTGTCACTGCTGATGGCGTCTCTTGGCTTGCCATGACTTGCGGAACACCGCCCAGAAGCTCAGGGCGCTCCAAGTCAAAAGGGTCTGACCGGAATTTATTGCGATGGGTGGTGAACGAGTCGATGCTTTCGCGGTAGGTGCGGGTGCTGGGTTGTCGACTTGGGTTTCCATTTGCCGTCGTGCTGGCAGAAATACTGATTGGATGACTGCGTGATTGTCGGCGGCGGCGGTCCTCGATGCCGTAGTTGGTCGCTGTCGGCGGTTTGGAGATTGTGGTGGCGTCGTTGTGAAGGTTTCGAACAGGATAAGGAGGGTCGCTGGCAGGGTTGTCGGAACGGCCAAGACCGGCGGCTAGGGGCGCTGGTATGGCTGATATATGGCTGAGCATGTTGTTGTCTCTGAAGGGGTTGTCGCCCTCGTCGAGGTGCAGTGGCCGTGCTGTTGGCACTTTGTCTCTGCTTCCACTACCACTGTCCTGGGGCGCGACGCTCAGATGTTGCTGCCCTTGGCCTTGGGCTTCTCGGCCGAGATCACCATCGTCCATGGCTATCAACGTTAGAAAGTCGGGTTGGTACTTGAGTCTGGCCTTCCGTTCACTTGTGTTTTCCGCGTCAAAATGTCTGTCTCGCACAACCTCATCGTTGCGCATGTTGCGTAGCCATTTGCTGATACGCATGTGGGATGCCATTCGAGACCACCAATTCGACATGCTGCCTTTGACCGACCCCGTTCCTTTAGCCTTGTCGGTGAAAGCTAGCGATGGGTTTCGACTGTGTGTGCTGAGTTCCTCAAATCGAGGGCCCCGTTTCAAAGGCGATAGCAGGATGCTAGGTTCGGAAAAGGCTTGACTGATGCGCTCTCGGATCCTTTCGACCTTGTAACCTAGGGCGGCCTTTGCCTTCACGAACCCCGGTGTTGGGCCAATGCTGCGTCGACTGATGATATAAGGCGTCTTCTCATTTGGGTCTGTGCCAGGACCAGGACCCAGAGGTGTCAAAAGGGTGCTCCTTCTCTTCTGCAATCTCCGTCGTCGCCACAACCACAAGAAGAGTCCGATGAGACTGAGGACCACAAGACCACTGAGCACACCTCCGGCCACCTTCGCGGCTTCGCTGTTATGAGCGCTTGGAACTGAGCTTATAGTGGGGAATAAAGTTGGGTTTTCCGTGGCCTGTACTGCTTTGCTGGTTGAGGATGGCTGGAGGTTTGCGCCTGTGCTAGCAAAAGGCGTTACTACCGCATCATCCGGAAATATTTCTGACGCTGTTTCTGTCACGATGCTTGTTCCCGCTGAAGTCTCAGTCTCATTGCTCACAGAATTTTGCTCGGCTTCCGGTGATGATGTTGGGAGCAAAGACGAAGAGGTGCTCGTGACAGTTGGGGTAGGTATTGTGGTCAATATGCTCGTCGTACTTGTTGAACTGGGGAATATACTGTCTTCGAGCGGCGGAGGCGGGCTCGCACTGGTGTTGACTGGCACCGTATTCTCATCCCTTGTTGTCGCTTCTGTCGTTGTTGTCGTCGTCGACCTCGTTGTCGTTGCCGGCAACCGAGAATCGCGACCTGTGGCTGTTCGGACATTGCTGAATTGGACAGCTTTGAGTATTGCTGTACATCGCTTGCCTCCGGTGGTTGTGAAAATGAACGACCTTACTGATGAAGGAAGATTGGGTGATGACATGCTGGAACTCGATCACTGTACCTCCGTGCCGGCGAATCCAGTCGCAAAGCATACGAGGATAATTAATATTGGTATGATGGATAAAAAGACACGCCAGGTGAGCGAAGAGAATAGTTGGGCCTCGCGGGCCTGTCTATGTCGGTATAATCATGAACCCTTTGCGAGTGGTGAGGAAGATGGTCCCTAAACAAGCAAAGCTTGGGGTGTCGTAGAGCAGATCATCACTTGATGGCTCGAGGACGCCAGAAATAGGATCCGCCCCAGCAGCCCATTTCCCTCGGCAGCGCATTGGAACCGAGCCAGCCTCCTCATGGCTCCTCTGATGATGGCATCGGGGGCATGGTGAGGTAGGAAGAGCATAGGCGTGTGTTTGAGAACAGAACCCATGTACTTTGATTGGTAGATGGGAAGTGTAATAACGACGTGATGTCCGAAATGGAACCAAAATACGACTCACGAACACCGACAACACGGTCGAGACGAACCACGGCTGTCGTCAACGCGGCTCTAACATCAAGGGGTTAGCGCATGTTGGTGTCGCTTAGACGGGCAAATCCCTGTCTTGCGACACTCCTGAAGCACACTCCTTGGTGTTGAGAGTAGCATCGTGAATGTTTCAAGGAAATATGTTTGGACCCGGAAAGCCACCCGTCAGCTGCTACCATGGCACCTCGATTGTTGTTCGCTACAGAAAAATAGCGGAGGCGACTTGAGGAGGTAGCAGATCTGAGAGAGCTCAAGCATGCACAAACCGTTCAGTTCAGACAATCGATTGCGAGGCCAATTGCAACAGTCTTCTTGACCGGGTCTGAAGCGGGGAGTTTGAAGCACCGACTTCAAAGCCTCGGCGCCAGTTGTATTTTGTTCTCTTGTGTTTTGCTTAATGATGATGCCGAAGGAGAGATCCACGGTCAACGGTGGGCGGACAAAAGGGACGGGGCAGATGCACGGCGCCATGACGCTTTTGGTTGCCTGCATTGCTTGTAACACAGTGGTGGGTAAAATTGCGCTGTTCATGTACCCGCCAGGTCTGCTCAAGAGGACTAGCAAATTCCATCGAGGGGTGGGACCACCAACCAAGAGCTACCCGTACTACGCCCCCACTTTTTTGGACCTCGCCAGACTTGCACCCCCTAAAGTGGGTGCTCACGGGTAATACGGCCACACCAGTAAAACGGCCACATATGTGTAAAATCGAGGTTATATTCAAATATTCAACCACCACGCTTGAGAAACTGTACTTTATTATAACCCGATTTGTATACTTCAAGCAGCTGGAGTTTCCTATCAATTCGCTACTTTCTAGCTAGCTTTGCCAAATTCTTACTATACTTTTTTGCCCTATTTTAAGCTTATTAGTTCGCTTTGTCGGCTTTCTTGTAGGCAGTTCTAATATTATTATTAGCTCATTTAAATACCATAGCCCGGCCGTCAAATACTTTCAAAATCCCTCCAGCTTATATAAATCGATTTTTATATACTCTATAGCGTTTATTTATTACTTCAGTATACTGGGTTTTACCCAAATTATACTTAATTTATACTAATTTGGCTATAATTACTTCTCCTCCCTTTACGAAGCTCAATACTATCCTTTTAAAGGATATGGATAATTTATTCTTATTTTTAATAACGTTGTATAGTTAAGTAACTACTTTATTCATTTAACGAAGGTTATTAAGTATTTTAAATAATATTAAGAGTATTACTAATTCGAGTAATAGGGTAGGTATACAGCGGGCAACGCAGTTTTATAAAGGACCTAGTACTAATTAGGGTTGAAATAGCTATATACCAATCTTTTTAAATATTAACTGTATTATTGTAAATTTAAATACCTTCTTTCTTATATTCTTAATAATAAATAGAAACTCTAGCTTTATAATATCTACACATTCATTACGTATAAGTATATTAAACGCTTAAGCGTAGTAGTACTTAAATAATTAAAAGACTACTATATTAAGCAGCTATAGTAGATAGGTAAGGTGGGGGGCAAACTGAAGACTATAATATTATTATTGTTACAATACTATAGAAACTCCCTATTACAACTATAATATTAGAAACTAGTATAGTAAGCGGGAGAGTAAGGCGCTAAATTACTTTACTGAATATAGTATAACCCGTAGCTATTAAATTAATAACTTCTTCTTTACCTTCTACCGCTTTCTTAAATGCTCATTCCAATATTTTAACTATTTAAATAACAATTAATAATTTAAATACCTGGTAAATACAGTAGTAATCTGTATTTGAGGGTCTAACTCTTTAATCCAATACTAATTAACTATATAAAATTAATCGGTAAAGATTATAAAGCCTAGGCAGTACTCCCCAGCTACGGAGATAGCTTCGATACATATTACTAATTTACGGTTTTCTAGGATAGCGAAGTAGTAGGTTCGCTTCCTCTTTATAACTACGAACTAGTCTTTACCTATACTAATACAAAATCCAGTCTCATTTATATTCTATATATTTAATGCTATAAAACCTTCTAATAAAATAATTTAATAGAGTTTCTTAAAGTATACCGCTACCTATTATACTATTTATTAATAATTACCTATATAAATAATATTAATATTACGGACTTACCTTATTTATATCCTTATTATCTTTCCGGGTGCTATCTATTTTCTTTTACTAGACTTTAGAATATTCGTAGCGCTTAATAAACTGTATTGCCTAATTAATACTAACGTAAGGTATTTCTTTATCATCGGAATCTACCGTTTTAAAGACCTTACTTCGAAGTAGTAAATCGGTGGCATCCTTAATATACAACAGTCGCACGGCGAAATTAATTCTATTAAAACGGTCGATATAATTGTATAGAACTTTCTTATTAACTAGGGTAAACTTCTATTTATAGGGAACAAGCGCGCCCTTCTTAGGTAGGATCCCCTTAATATAGTTATAGAGTCGCTTATAGGGCACCTCGAATATCTTGTATAGATAGGTAACAAAAACGTTTAGATTTTCCCGGTAAAAATCGAGCGCTCATTACAGACGTGCCTCTATTGTAATTTGATAATTATTTTGATGCGATACGATGTAGTAGTAGTTGTACAAAGAGAGGGGATTATAGAAAGTTTAAAATTGTTATAATGTGTTGAGGTTTAAGATGTGCGTGGCCGTTTTACTAGTGTGGCCGTATTACCCGTGAGCACCCACTTTAGGGGGTGCGAGTCTGGCGAGGTCCAAAAAAGTGGGGGCGTAGTACGGGTAGCTGTACACACTTCAAGTTGGAGGTACCTTCCACTTCCACTTTATGTAGGTACCTAGAGGTAAGTATGTTCTGCAAGACCGGGCGTCCGGTAGCCGAGCCGGAAGCGCAGGTGGACGGCATCTCGGGGCGAACACACTCTGGAGGAATCGGGTACTGCCCTGTGGTAAGTAGAGGTAGGTTCCTCTATATACACTAGTAGTAGGTGCCTTAGGTCGGGGTGTCCCGGGCAATGGGCGGGCGGGCACGGGGTTCCAAGTACCTACCTTAGGTAGGTAGTGTACCGTCTACCGGGAACAGACTCCTTGTGGGCTGCCGACGCCCGCTGTCGTATTCACACTAGTTCGCAGCGTCCATCAGCCCAGTCCCAGCACTGTAAACCAGGTAGGTGAGTACTACCTACACTACACGGGCAAGCGGGCGGGGTTGCAGGTCCGTTGCAGGCGGAACATGGAAGAGCTCCCGAACGGTTGACGCGGCGCGTGATCCCTGTGCCCGGCCACCGCCAAAACAGGCAGGCGCTGTGACCCTTGAACCCCTGACTTGCAAAGGCATGCGGGGTCGTCTCTGATGGGAACGGCGTGGAAACCCTCACCGTCACCTTCTCTTCGACGGAATGGCAACGAAAGAAGCGTTCTCTCAACCTTTGGCCATGATCACCCAAGGCAACGTAACGGTAACGGCCCGCTGCGCTAGCGGAACGGAGACTGGGTGATTGTGGGCGACTGGGCGGCCCAGACGAGCTTCCCAAATCATTCGACCACGAATTCCGTCCGAACCGGCTTGTCCCCGTGGCGGCCGCACAACCCCAGGCCATCGGGCCAGACACGCCAGAGCTCCTCGAACACATCGATATCACCCAGGGTTGGCACGTTGGCTCCAGGGGCACCAGGGTCGGGCCCAGGGGCGACCCTCTCTTCCGTGATCTTCTTCCATCTCAAGGCTGTCTCTACAACCAACAACAGCATCCCCTCCTTTCTCCACAAACATCTCCTGTTACCTGTTTCCCGCCGCCGCTCTTGTGCAACAGAGAGCACGACATCCGCCTGAGTCGGCGGTCTACTGAAAGTCCCGGCTCCGCGTCACGGTGCCCGCCCATCCTACCTTGTCGGTTGCCGGCGCAACGTCTTCCGCTCATCATCGACGCCGAACCCCTCGGTAGTACGGTACCGTTGCCGTGTCTTCCCACTGCAGTAGCCATCATGTTTGGGAACTTTGCCCACTTGAGTGTGTTCTTCAGTCCCCCTTTTTTGCTGTACATAGACCGTCTGGCCGAGCTGTGCTAACCATTCCGTTTAGTTCCCTTGGCCACAGCGCCTCAAGGGCCGCCCAAGGACGTCCCTCCACCTACGCCCGTCAACTTTCCGCGCTTCTATCCCCAAGTTCAAGATGACCAACAAACAGCACCGGGAGCCGCAGACGAAACACCAAAGTCGGTTGTCACCTTGTTGCAGGGCATAGTCCGCCCAGCCCAGCTAGCCGTTGCCCATTTTGAGGCTCTCGGAGTCCATGTAGTGCCAAACTCTACGGCGGCGGACCTCATTCCTGATCCGTCTTATATCCCGAATTTCGCTGCTTGGGATGAGCTCTCATCCGATGCAGCTCACGAGGTAAACGAGAGCACCAGGGTCCCACTGATTTCGGGAAACCGCTCTCCCGGCTGCAATACTTACCTGGAGCGTAAGCGTGAGCTGTTGTTTCCTAATGAGACCGGCTACCGGACTGTTCGCCGCATCCAACCTCCAAAGGGCCAGAGCCATGCCCGGCTGGGAAACTGCTACGAGTTCTTCCGTCAGCTCGACACACTATCCAACTATTGGGATGACACCTCGGTAACAGAACAGTCAGCTCCGGAAGGCGAAGAAGAAGACAAGGACGCTCTGGCCTCCAAGCCTCGACGGACCGGCGCCGGCAATCAGATGCCCCCTGACTTCCGCCAGCAGATGGTGCAAACCTTCTTGAAGCTTGTCGCGTACGACTTTGGCTGTAACACTGCGCCGGCTCGTGCTGAACCGAGGCTGCACATCACGTCTCGCAATTGTGGTTCTGCCCGTAGCTCCTACTTCTCTTCCGGTTGCACTTTCATGTACAAGACCCCGACCACTAGGGAAGAAGCCCGCGCCGGTATTGTTGAAGGACCTGTGGCGGCCGTAAGTGCTAGGCATTCCACTGGCTTCCTACCCCCACCCGAGGACCCGAACGAGTCTTCCACCGATCCGGACGCCGTCTTTGATTTGGGCCGCGAGTTGGTTGCCGCGCTAGTAACGGCCCAGCATCGAGCCCGCGAGGGTCGCACCGAGAAGCGCATCGGCGAAGGTGCCTGGTGGTGCACCAAGCCTCGATGGGGCGGTGGCCCCGGTGGCCCCATTGGTCGTGAGATTGAACAGCAAACCAGTGGCGACGACACACTCGTTGGAGACAAGGACGCGCCCCCTCCGGCTGCTGCTCCTGCCGAGAAGCCCACAAAGGTGACCATCTCTTCCCGACTTGCCTCCCGCGCTTCCCCGTTTGGCCCCTTGCCCAGCACACGTCTCCCAGAAAGAGAGAAGGAGTCTAGCACGGGACCGGCCAAGGGCGTCAAGCGCCTGAAGAAGTCGGGTAATATGGCCATGTACGACAACTACCGCATGGTTCGCCCTCCGGCCCTGACTTGGGACAAGAAGGCCAAGTACGCCGCCATTGGCAGAGCTGCAGGCGCAGAGTACGATGACATCTTTGTGGTCAGTGCCTTGTATCACCACATCAGCATTGTAAGAGTGCGGGTGCCCGATCAGCTAATGGCGGTTTTGGAGGGCCGCGCCGAGCACGAGTTTGAGAACGGGAAGCGCAGCTGGGGAAGGCTGGAAGTGAGGAGGAGCAAGTGGTTTGACCTCTTCAAGCCTGAGGACAGAGTGGAGGCCATGAAGCTCGTCTGGTGCATGATGAATTGGTTGATGAGGGCCGTGCCTAAGGATGAGGATGGAAAGGACGAGACTGATCAGGACCAAGAGGAAAAGAAGGACACGAAGAGTGAAAATGCGGGAAATCCTGCTGCAGCGACACCAGCAGGCAGCCAGAATGCTATTGAGCAAGTTAAAGACGAGGCCAAGCAGGAAGCGAAGGACGAGGTCAAAGAGGAGAATGCTGATGTGAAGATGGAAAATGCATAGACTGAGAAAATTGGCGTGCGTACGTACGTACCGACTACTGTATTTCCCTTTCTTCGTTGTGTCTTCTTCCCATTCGGCTTCTTGGATTCGGCCTGCTTTGTTATCAACGAGGGAATCCAACATTTATTGTACAGTATATCGAAATTGCTAATGAGTTTTCCCAAGAGCATTCTTTGTGCTGAGCGCGATCAGTCAAGTGCAAAAGCTTGGCAAGTACAGGTCCTTCACTGAGCTTGAGCTATTATTGCCTGGTGCGCTATAAGCTAACTTGACACTTGCCGCCAATGTCATGGGTCGAATCTGATTAAAAGGTAATGCGAGACATCTTGTCGTTCATTCCCCATGCGAGGTTTGCATTTTGAGCGACATGCTGGTCACGCACTGTAGAAATGATATAGGTTTCAAAATTTTTACCAATAGCCAACATCTTCTAAATCCCCTTGTGGTGTAGTTGGCTATCACGTTCGGCTGTAATTGTATAGATTGTATACCGAAAGGTCACCGGCTCGATTCCGGTCGAGGGGACATGTTCATTTTTTTATGTCTTTTTCATCCGTCACCTTCTCCCCGCACCAAGTTTTTGTGCTGATCTGAAGCGAGTCTTTTCCTTTTGATCTTGTGATCCCAGCAGCTTGGTGGACTCCGTTGCAGAAGACTGTGTAATCTTGGGCTTGGCAATCCTATGGGCAAGGGTCATACATAGATAGTACTGCGGGAGTGCGGCTATTGAGGATCGTTTTTTAGGGCTCCCTGCTGAATGTTGAAGGAGGTCTGGCAGTTGGACATCAAGACTTGTAGACTGACTTGCCTGGCATTTTGGAGCTATAGTGAAGAGGAGGATAACCTACTTGATGAAAATCGATTTTGGGTTGGAAAATCTAACCCAGGGGTTTTTCTGAGCATAGCAACCAGATCGACGTAAAGAAAAATTTCAAGACCACTATTAACATATTGGTTATGTCGAGGATTTATATACAGTTACCACTTGTTAGAATGAAACACTAAAAACTAATATCCAACAACCTTAACCTGTACCCTATCTTGAGCTTGGTCTAGTATCAGATTACATATGATCAAAGCATTAAGTAGCACATATTTGTTGTAGTAAAGACATATTGATATGTTGCACTCTGATATCTATCCAGTAGTATGTAATTATTGCTAGCATAGCCTCTGTTCACATTAGTGTGTGTTTTCTAGTATTGACTAAACCCATGAAGAGCTGGAAGTCTGGAACTACATACACAATATGGGGCGTGTGAGTGGAGACGGGAACGAGATTGTGGGCTAATTTAAACGCAAGCATTTTGCATGTACCTAGGTATCTTTTAGAAGTCGGATGTTACCGAATCCTCGGTAGCAAGCGACTTGTAAATTGTTTTGCAATACTTAACCGTGCAGGTTACGCAGATCACATACCCAGAGCCTTTGAGCCTCACCGACCGACGACGATGATGAGCATGGAAATTGGCTTGAAAGGGCATAGCCCACCGGCCACCCCATTGGGGTACAGTGTCAGTCTGTCCCAGACAGAAGGCATGGGAATGCAGGGCGCTGCTTTTGCTTTTGCGGCCGAGGGTTCGATTTAAAACTCCAGGGATCTGCTATGGTTACAACCTCATTCTACGTATGTAGTGATGGCAGCACAGCATGACCAAAGACTAAAGACTGCCACAAAAAGGCTGAGATGTTGTTCAAGCGGGCGTCTGATCTAGCAGATGCAGCACGTCGTTTGTGGCCATGCTCTCTCGGCCTGTCCCTTGTTGGCCCACGTACCCAAAAGACTTGGGCCGTTCGTCTTCGGGATCCAGCAGTCTGCGGCAGAATGCGTCGCTTCCAACAAATGGCAATTACACAAAGCAATCAAGTCCATTGGGGCTTGGACGTCTAAAGACATTCGAGCATATCTGTCATGCCGAACACATCACCCTTGCTAGACATCGAAGACAAACGGCCCAAGTCTTTTTGGTCGGTCGGTGGGATAGGTGTGTAGCTATGAGCCAAGGGAAACCTTGACTCGCATGTGGTAGGGTTTGGCGCGCGCCATCTAAGATCGAGAACTAGATGTTCCCCGGACTCTAGCAACGAAGAATGCAATTTCGGTTCGCTAACCTGCAGGACTCTGATGTCGAAGTGCCACATCTGGACACCTCGACTGTGGTATTGAGCTTCGATGTCGGTTGATCGAGCCCGTCTGTTTTACTCTATGTAGTAGTTCACGCAGTATGTAGTGTAGATGCGATTTGGTTTTCCACTTGGCTGTCCCTATCTGCAGAGAGGAGTTTCCTTCGATTTATGGCGCCGGCGATTACAGTCCAGCAGCGATCACACGGTAATTTGACCTATCATATACTCAACATGCTGTCGAGCTAGCTTCACTCGGCTGCATGCATTCGGATACCGGAGATATTGGAGACCAGCGAACCTTTCTGCAACCGGGAGACCCGGCCAGCCAACCACAAGAGCTGCGGAACTGACACTGACCGAAATGGCCTCGGTCGTCCCGAAGCTTTGATGTCTGGAAGCAAAAGCCGAATGTCGTACGCCGCGCGGGGAGGGGGGGGCAAGTCTGAGAGACTGCCGGGCCGGGGATCGTGGCAAAAGAACGCCTTCGGTCACAAGCCACAATGACCCGGCGGAGGTAACCTTCGTTCACCGTCGACTTTTGCGTTTTGCGCTGTGGAATACAGATCCTCGGTTGTGATCACGACAGACTGGGTGTCCTGGATTCCAAGCACGTCCAGCTTGCGGATTCTCCTAGTGCGTTTCTCACTACCCTTTTCTAATTGTCCCCACTCGAGTAACCGTGGACGGGCGATAACACCTTTCAACTTATGGGCTTGCGTCTGCGATATTAGTTTCTTCCCTTCTTCCATAGGGCATTGGAGTTGTGTGGTCCATGTGGAGGGAATTTGCTGGATGCGATACGTTCAGTTACGACAGCCCGGGGCGGGACCCTCAAGTGGGCAAGACCCCCGAGCGTCTTTTTCCCCCGCCAGCGGCAGCAGGTAGAGGCGCACTGAGGGCTAGTGGGCTTTAGAAAAGAGCTGAATAGCCGTTGTGATATCTAACCGTCAAAGTGATTAAAGGACTTGCCGATGGTGCATGACGACCTGGAGAGAAGGCTAGCGACGTTGATCGTTCGATGTTGCCCTTCACCATGCACCGTGATTGCGACTGTGCGGAAGAGGTTTGCTGTTGCTCAGTCTTGCCCCCATATCCCTCTACATCCACATACATACACTCCGTACACTACAGGCAGCAGGTCTGTATACATACTCCATAGTATAGGGATATGGATTCAAACATGACATGAAAGAGCGCCCGGTCAAAGAAGGTATGGAACATTTGCTAGTTTATAGGACTATTTGACCTCCTAGCGCAACTCCATCACAACTCGCTGTTGTGGTGTCGTAGAGGTAGATATGTAGCTAAGTATGTAGGTAAGTATCTCGTCACTCCTCGTCTCAACTTTCAAGCGTTTCGATCGCTTCTTCCCAGATTCTGGATCCGCACTCCACGTTGCTTGGCGTTGATCACGGCAAAAGTGGAAGAGAAGCTTTTCTTTTCGTGCTGCCCCCGCTTGAATTTCGTCCAATCACGACTTGGAGTGTTGCGCTGCTGATGTATGTATCTGGTCTATCAATAAACATGGCTGTTGATATGGTCACAGGCAGCTTGGGCGTTGAGGCAGCTAAGTGAGATACTTCCAGTTGCAGACACAGACGCCACCCAACGACTTGGAATGTTCGCAGTGGGACCTTTTCCCTCCCTTGGTGCCCTGGAGCAGCTTCCCCCCGCCTGCCGTCTCAACCTAGCAGCTTGCCCGCTCTTGGCCGGGCATTCCCGTCCACACAGCGGGCAATCCATCCGGGTCCCACACGCTACACCCATTAGGTTGCTTGCCCTGCGGTGGCCTTGGTTCCAGTTGACCTCAATCCCCGTCCGAAACATCGCGACGAACCCATACCGTCACCTCTTTCCCACTCTTTCCTGCTCAACGACCCCGGCCCTTGCGACCCAACGGGCATCACCAAGCCTCTTCGACTCCCTGCATGTGAGTTGTCCCCAAATCAGCCTTTTGACCGCTCTCTCGGGTACATGTCCTGCACCCTCAGACCCTCTGTACAGTCGGGCGGAACATTGACTCCAGTTTTGGTTCGGTCATGGTTCTCGACTTGCGCCATCCCGTGCTTCTTCCCTGACTCGGCCCGTCTGCCTGCTCCAAATCGGTTGTATCCAATGCATCGCTGCTCCCATTACTGACCTGGTGCCTGTCTTTTAAGAATCTAGCCTTGCTCCCCTCCAATCCATCATTTACCGGCCTCACTTCATCAACGCCGCCCTCCCTCGACGCTCCACCCTATATTCAATCTCGTCTTCACGCCCGTCTGATTCCAAATCCAACCGCGCCCTCCAGCCTCCCTGCCACTACATCAAGACCTTAGTCTCCGGATCCTACTTACTAAAGTCACGACGGGTCACTTCGCCGAGCCTCCTCGATCTTGCACTGTCTGTCTCTAATTCAATCCAGTCGCCGATCATGTCTGGATACCCCGGCGCGGGTTACAATGGAGGAGGCTACGTCCCGCCGCCTCAACCACAATATGGCGGCTACTACCCTCCGTATGTTTATACAACTACACTCGTAGCCTTGTCCTTCAAACTGCGGTTCTAACTTTGGCAGCCAACCTGCCTATAATGCCTATCAACAGCCGCCTCCTCAGCAGCAACAGTACATGGTTTACCACCAGCCCTCGCCTGGCCCCCAGCAACACCAGCACTGGAATCCACAGCAGCAGGTCCGTCTCAAGCCCATTACCACAACCAACATCCACGTAGAGGAGTACTAAAGACGAGTCGCAAATAGACGCCTGCACCACAGGGATATGGCAATCCTCCAAACTCCCATTACGGCAGACCTGGTGAGTGCTAGCTAGAATAGCCCCCCCTCCCAGACTGGAGTGTAGCTTCTGACTATGCCTTCAGAGGCGAACATGCCAACGGTGAATTCGAATTCGTACGCGCACGGGAACCACCAAGCACCTCCGCCTCCTCCCCAGGCGCCTCAGCAATTTGGATATGGCGCTCCAGCGGACTACGCCTTTCGATATTCGCAGTGCAATGGCCGACACAAAGCTTTGCTCATCGGCATCAACTACTTTGGTCAGCGGGGCCAGCTGAG